TTGTACGAGACGATCCCAGTCTCTTATATCGCTGAAAACACCGTGAGTGCCGAGACAGGCGTCACTTTGGAAAGCCAGATTGCCGTGGAGGCCTTGATCAGCAACATGATATCCCAAGGGGAACTACGCGGCACCCTTGTTGGTGCCCAGGGCGACCAACCTACATTTCTCCGTTTCGACCCGACGGAACGGGTCTCCGATGAAGGCTTGGTGGAGCGAGAGCTTGCTGTGGCCATCGGGCGCATCGAGTCGATGGTGGACGATATCAAAGTTACTGACCATCTTCTTACGCACGAGAAGGAATATTTGACATATGTCCGTAAGCAGAAGAAGAAGCAGGCCGGCCCTAATTACGCCGATGCCTATGGTGGAGACGAGCTGAGTTGGATTGTTGGCCCGGACGATGAAGATCTTATGGCTGTGATGTAGCCTAAATCAGGTCAACATTGGGGAGAGGGATTGGGTGAATAGAGGAGGTGGAAGCTTATGAATCACGACAAATTGAGTCACGGATTAATGAATGGTATGAGGAGATAACGAAAATAGCTCCTATTAACTTTAAATTAATTTCATTGGCTTACCCATCCGATGCCCACCACTAATATGTGCCAGTGAGGATAAATATTACCTGTTTTTATATGTGTAATGTGTATATATAATAGTGACTATATAAATTATAATGAAAATAAATGGGCTTAATTATTAAAAGATATAATTGCTATATTAGTAAATGGGAAATAGACCGAAAGAGGTAAATCCTATTAATTAAACTACGAGTATCAATCCCTAGCTTGATGTAACCCTCTCCTAGCCCCTGGGCGGCACGAGTAGGAGTGGTGCGTGATATAGGGGGTGAACAAAGTAAAAGTGTGTACTCTACTGGGAATTACAAATAATGAAAAGCCTCGGAGAATGCAAATACACCTGAGAGATACAAATCCCAGATGCGATACCATTCCATATCTATCACATGTAAAATAAAATAAAATATCCCCCAAACCCCAAATACAAATACGCCCCCTTCCCCGCCCACCCCATTCTACTAACCCCCCTTACTTCGCCTCAAACAACTTCCCCAGCCCCTCAAGATTCACATTCCCCCCTGTAAACACAACCCCCAAATCCCACACCTCCTCTCCCTGCTCCTTCTCCACCACCCTCCTGAAATCCTCATTCCACAACGCAACCGCCAACCCCACCACCGCACTCGGCTCCACAACCACCTTCATCCTCTCCAGCACCAATCGCAGCGTAGCCTTGATCTGCTCCTCAGTCACACTATACACTCCCCTCACCATCTTCGTATCACTGATCACCTTCCACGGCCATGCCCCAACCGGCGTCCGTAGCCCATCACCTATAGTAAGGGATTTCACAACCTCAATCCGCTTCCCCGCCGCAAGACCCCTCTTACAGTCATCCGCGCCCTCAAACTCCGGCTCAGCACCAAAAACCAATATCCCCGTCCCCTCCGCACTCAGCGCCGTGCCACTTAGCAAGCCCCCTCCTCCACACGGGGCAATAATCGCATTCAACCCCCCCCTCCCCTTTCCCCCCTCCTTATCCTCTCCCTGGGCCTCAACAACCTGCCCCTGGAGTTCCAGCCCCGCGGTCCCCTGCCCGATCATGACGTGCGGATGATCGTAGGGGGGGATCAGCGTCGCGCCCGTGTCGGCGATGACGTCGGCGACGACGGCTTCGCGCTCGGGGGCTGTGGAGCCGGAGAAGAGGACGTGGGCGCCGTAGGATTGGGTCGCGGCGATTTTGGCGGGGGTGCTGATGCGCGGCATGACGATGTGGGAGGGGATATTGAGGGTGGCGGAGGCGAGGGAGACGGCTTGGGCGTGGTTTCCTGTTTATCATCGGGTTAGAAATTGCTCTGTATCCCCCCCTCCTTTCCCCAAGGACAGCTTCTAGAGTAGACAGCCGCAGAACAAGAAGACTCACCACTGCTATGCGTAACCACCCCCCTCTCCCTCCCCCCACCCTCCTCCCAGCCCTCACTCTCCACCAGCCTCAGCAGCGCATGAAACGCGCCTCTCGCCTTGAACGCGCCGACTTTCTGGAAATTCTCGCACTTAAACCAGAATCTGATCTTTGGGTTTGCGGGGGCTTGGCCGGCCCAAGGGGTGTCTGCGAGCTCGGCGGCGGTGCGGGGCGTGGAGGCAAGGTTGGAGAGGTAAGTGGAGGTTAGGACGGGGGTGTGGTGGATGTAGGGGGTTATGAGGGCGTGGGCGGAAACAACGGAGGAGCGAGCGAGGGGGAGGGAGTTGGGGTCGGCCATTGTGGTTGTGGTGGTGGGGGATGTAAGGGTGTGAAGAATTGGGGGTTTGGAGACAAGAGGGGCGTAGGAATATGAGGGTATAGGGATGCGAGGGAGGAGGATATGGGCGTGAAGGGTTGAAGATATATTTTACGCAAGGGAGGGAGGGGTATGCGGGGTAAGCATGCGGTGGTGCGTCCTGACTAGAGCCTGGTATGTGCATATCTGCGCCCTGGAATCTACAATGACCACCTGCCCTTTTGAGGCACATATAGACTTTCCTCCTCGTACTCCGTATTACTACTACCCATTCCTACGGCCTAACCCTATACTTTACCCCTCGTAGGAAATATCCCACCATGCACCTACTCCGCACCGATTGCTCGCTAATCTCCAAACTCTGATACGATAACGGCGAGAACGGAGGACTGCTGCTTCGGCGAGACCCTCAACCCCACATTTTTCTCATGGAAAACTGGCACTACTAGCTGGGTCACCGAACACCGAGCCCGCAAAACTGGATATCGGCCAACACCGAACAACTGGGGCAGATGGAGTATGGATGGTCTGGCAGCGGATTGCGGAAGCCGATTGCGGAGGAATGTGTCATATTGAAGCTATTACGTCTTGGAATACAATCGCAATTCAGTGCAAGTTCACGTCCAAGAATTCATCAGGATATTATGTTTACGGTAAATTTTTTAATGGAGTAAACAACTTTTGCATTTCAGGCGACATATCCGATGATATAGAGAACCGAGTTATAGTACAAACATGCGCCGTTCGAAAATAAATTCCCCCATCAACAAATCCATCCAGTTAACAACCATCACCAACCAACCGTCCATCAACCATTTACTTCTGGTTCTCGGGGCGGAGCGAGCGGACAGCCTTTCCGGCCCTCCAGATCTCGAGGTCGCGGATCTCCTGCATCTCAGCCTCGTACTTCTCTCTGTAGTCTGGCTGGGAGTTGTAGTCGAGGGAGCGCTGGGTCTCCTTGCCGGTCTTGACGGAGTCGTACAGGTCGTTGAAGACGGGCTTGAGGGCATCCTTGAACTTGGAGCTCCAGTCGATGGCACCGCGACGGGCGGTGGTCGAGCAGGCCTCGTACATCCAGTCCATGCCGTTAGCACCGATGAGAGGGTAGAGCGACTGGGTCGCCTCCTCAACGGTCTCGTTGAAGGCCTCCGAGGGGGAGTGGCCCTGCTCACGGAGAACCTCGTACTGGGCGAGGAACATACCGTGGATACCTCCCATGAGGCAGCCTCTCTCACCGTAAAGGTCAGAGTAGACCTCCTTCTCAAAGGTGGTCAGGTACATGTATCCGGCGCCGACGGCGACACCGAGAGCAGTGGACTTCTCGAGAGCCTTGCCGGTGACATCCTGGTAGATGGCGATGGAGGCGTTGATGCCACGGCCCTCACGGAAAAGGGTGCGGACAGTGCGGCCGGATCCCTTGGGGGCGACGAGGATGACATCGACATCAGTTGGCACATCGACCTTGGTGAGCTCCTTGAACACGGGGGAGAATCCGTGAGAGAAGTAAAGAGTCTATGAAGCGCGTTAGTAATGTGTATTTAGGCATTGGATGTATATTTGATGTACCTTTCCCTTGGTGATTTGCGGCTTGATGTGAGGCCAGGTCTCGGACTGGGCAGCATCGGAGAGGAGGTTCATGATGATGGTACCACGGGTGATGGCCTCATCGATCTCGAAGAGGTTCTTGCCCTCAACCCATCCATCCTGCTCAGCCTCTCTCCAGGACTGTCCACCCTTGCGGACACCAACAATGACGTTGAGGCCCTGATCTCTGGCATTGAGACCCTGACCGTGACCCTGCGAGCCTGGATGAATTGGTTAGCAGTGCTCACGTAATTGTCCGATCGATTTCAACATACCATATCCGATCATAGCCAGAGTGTCATCCTTGAAGTACTCCTACGAAACCGTAAGTCGAGGTCGCAAAAAAACCCAAAAGGCGGTGGGATCACCAGTTGGGCGATTCGTCATCGGGGTGACTTACAAGGAGCTTCTCACGAGGCCAGTCGGAGCGCTCATAGACCTCCTCTTTGTCGCCAGCAAAGTCGACGGTCTTGACACCACGGAACTGCTGGACAGGAGCTGCAGCTCTGGCAACAGCTGGTCTGGCAGCGGCGTTGACAACGGACACGAAGGTACGCTTAGCCACTGGGGCCGCGAATTGGCGTGCCAATTGGGAGCGGGCAGCTCGTGAAAGAGTTCGTGAAGCCATTTGTGTGATGTGGTTCAATGGCTAAGAAAGATGGGGGGGGGGTGTTGATTCTTATAACAGTGAGTCAAGGTCTGTGGGGATACGTAGCTCGAGTATTGAATTTTTGAGGCCGATCTCGCTTCCCCGACGCCCCATAGCTTAAAGAGCGCTAGTTCGGCGTAATCACGTGTTTATGGGGTTTTCCTGCACGGAGTACCGTAGTTTCTCCACTAGAACTCGCCTATTTACGACGCCATAATTTCACAGAGTGGTTCTTCATGAGCTTGATCACTATGGGAGAACATCTATTGGCCGGGTGGTGTAGTTGGTTATCACGTTTCGTTAACACCGAAAAGGTCCTGGGATCGAACCCCAGCCTGGTCATTCATTATTTTTGCCGTTTTCAGCGTTCCAAAGTTGATATAATTTTGGAGTTTTGAACTATTTGTGCGGCCGAAAAGCCGGAAGAAGAAATCGTGCATTGATCCATACCGGATAACATATATGGGCCGGGTGGTGTAGTTGGTTATCACGTTTCGTTAACATTTATGTGCCGAAAAGGTCCTGGGATCGAACCCCAGCCTGGTCATTATTTTTGCCATTTTCAGTATTGCAAAGCTGATATGATTTTGGAGTTTTGAATTTTTGGAGCTGTGAACTGCTACTTGTGCGGCCGAAATCTCGGAGGAAGAAACCGTGATAGCTACCACTAGGCTCAGAACAGCCCGCGGGTCTCGGTGTAGCCCAGGTTGATTATAGCGACTAGGGATATAATGCAGACCGTAGATGACTCAGAAACTATTGGAGTCATTTAATTAGCCAGTCAATAAAAAAATGAAGTTAAAGGGGGAAGTTCTATTATTTTTAGCCGCCGAATATAATATTGAAGAAATAAAATAAAAAAAGGTTGGAATGAAGTTACTTCGATTGGATTTTACCAACACGCCCAGTTTTAAAGAATATGACAGTACCTTCCCTTCAATTGGAGTGCCTGGCGCACCCTTCGGAAGTCAAGGGGATGAAGGCTTTTCAGATCCCGAAGAAGGCCACAGTTTAAAGCGTCGCAAGAGTCCTTTAGGTGGCTAGCGACGAAGACATGATCCAGCGAGCTCTAGAAGGATACGAGAAGGTGCTTGGAGTAGAGCAACCACACACACTTACTAGTGTTAGCCAGCTTGGGTCAGTGTTACAGGTGCTCTCTCTCTGCCATGCTCTCTCTCTGTCATGCTCTCTCTCTGTCATGCTCTCTCCCTGTCATGCTCTCTCACCGTCGTGCCTTCTTACCGTCGTTATGCTCCCATACTGTCGTCATGCTCTCTCACAGCTGGACTCTCTTTCCCACCGCCGTGCTCTCTCACCGTCGTGCTCTCTCTCTGTCGTTATCCCTCTCCCATCCAACAAGGTTATCTACTTCGGCTTAAGCATATATATTCCTTAGGGAGCTTGAGGTGGGCATATCTGTCATCTGCGTCTTCAACATGGACTTGTCAAGAGGAGACAATTCATCCCCATCCTCCATGAGACGAGTTAAGAGAGTTCTAAGGCTCGCCCAACGTGCGACATCCGTGTACTTGTTCGCAGGCTCTGCAAATTGATGTGACAACCAGCGAATTTGTGTCACTATGGTATGTAAGGTCGTTGCCGAAGAGACTGGACCTATCGTCCCTTGTGTTCTTCATCTCATGTATGTAGTGCTGTGATGTGTCCATCTTCCTTCCTTCCTTTATACGTTAATTTACAGCCAACACTCTCATAGACGGCAACCGAATCAACCCCTGAAAACCTGGCTTCTGATGTTTAAGGATAGCCAGTCTCTTCCCATATCTCATACCGTCCACAACGTTTATTCGATGGAGCTATTGTGTGCTTCGAGCACCTATTTATAACAGACAAACCCCTCGACCAAGTTCAAAGACATGCCTCATGAAGCTATCGGCCGAGTCGTCTGATTGTTCGTTTGCCGGAGCATGGGAAGACCAAAGGGAGGCCGTGAAACTGCTGCAATTTTTTGAAATTCGGCTGGACAACACTAATACACAGCAAATCCATGTCGCTGTGTTTCGATCAGCGGTATAACAAGCCGCATACCTTCGACACTAAGCTGCGCCTTACGCATACAATTATCAGGAAACCTCGAGCAGCATATCGGCCCTGTAGGGAGGTGTGTGGAAAGGACAATAAGAAAATCCTATAAAGAGAGAGTACGTATGCTATAACAACATAATCGGATCGCGTGAATACTAGCATAGAGAAGACAGATGACCGACTCTAGAATTATCAAAGTGCACTCGTTCCAAGAGGCAAAGGGGATTTCTGGCATGAAAGGTCTAGATAGCAAGGTACGCCCCTCTAGAGCTCGCTGGTACATTGCTTCTGCCTCTTTGTACTTGCCCTGTCTCTCTAACACTGTCCCAAGCTGGCTAACGATGCAATTATAGTCTTGCAGTTATTGTTCTCCTTGCCAGGAGTGGGCTCTAAGAGCCTTTTCTTTAAATTCTATTTCATACCCCATAATTTCAAAACTTCTTCGGGGCAAATTCTTAGATTATATTGTCTTCTCTTCCCCTAGCCAAACCCTTCAATAAGTAGCTCGTTCAAAAAGCTATAATAGTTTCCGTAATAAATCTGGGCAACAGAGGGGCCTGCGGGTTAGTCGGAGCCTCTTCGTTGCTGTCCCACGCGGTCTTTGCCCTGGACCTTAGGCAACACAACTAGGAGCTACCCCCTCCTCAAGGGTCTCACCTCCATATGAACCAACACATAGTTACTCTAGAGGGAAGGAACGACTTATTAAATAGGGAATGAACGACAGCCTTCAGAGGGAAAGAGCGACTGACTCGATAGGGAAGGAACGACTGATTAAAAATGGAAGGAGCGATTTATTAAATAAGGAAGGGACGACGGGGCTTCAGAGAGAAAGAGCGACCCATTAACTGAGGAAGGAACGATCCATTAATGAACCAAGAGAGGTATGTGTCGTTCCTTCCTTCGGAAGCCGGTAGTTCCTTCCTGAGCGAGACCCATTCTATCTGTATTTAGGAACGTTGATGAGAGTCCACATCAGAAAGACCACAGCAACTTTGTCTTGAGAGTTTAAAATTTCAGTGCCTGTAGTAATATATGGGCATTCCTCTACTCAAGCGCCGACCGAAGCCGACGCAGCAAAACTCCCAGAGCCCGCTGTGCTAAAACGCCTCATATATGCCCCAAAAATTATTCCCCGTAGTCGCCATATCCTTCTATGCCACGGTCTACTACTTCAGAACCCTCTCAAAAGGTATACCCCTTACAGGGCCACCGCCCATAGCTGTCCTGACGTTCCGCTTGAATCCCTCCCTGTTCGATCGTAGGTCTTCGGCTGCGTCCTTGTTGAGAGGGTCGGAGGCGTTGGGTTCTAGGAACAGGAACTTTGGCAGACGTTAGCGGTGTTAATGAATGGGCATGCGGGGAACCACAAACCTGTAATCCAACGATAACCGCATTAAGGTTCAGCACCGGCTTCCAGTCCTCACGCAAGATATTGAGGCACACATTGCCCTCGAGATCGATATTGGGATGGTATATCTTCTGCGTGCACTTCACCTTCGGCGGGTCATGCGGGAAGTTCTGGTTGATCGCGAAGGAGAAGTGGAAGCGTCCGCCCTTGTACATGCCCTCATCCGGGTCGATCGTCAGGGTGAAGTTGAGGATGTCGTTGGGGTCGGGGAACTCGGTGCGCCATGTTTTGCTCGCCTCAAGCTCTTCGAGATCTGGCTGGCTTGATTAGCCCCGGCGCTCTATCTCGCGGTGGGATGGGGGCAGGTGGGCGTGGACTGACCTTTTTGGACGCGCAGTTGGGCGGCTGTGACCTTCTTCTTTTTTGTTCCGTTTGCGTTGGCAGCTGCTTGCTCCTTCGCTTTCTGCGTTGGGCGTTAGCTTGGCCTACTCAAGGGGATCCAGGGACCAGCTGTGGAATGTGCATACCATGGACCATATTTTAAGCATGGTGGCGGTATACCCAGGGTGGGGGAGTGCGGGAAGATGTTCCCGGTGCTGTGCTGGTTGCCTGGCGTCCCTCTCCGACGGCGTGTAGGGGGCGAGGAACAGAAAGTCCAAATTTTGACAGGACGGGCTGGGTTATATAATAGAGGGCGGTGGGGTGCTATGCAGCAGCGAGAAGTGAGTATTGTAGGTTGGGCCTGGGTGAATGAGGGGGTGACTTGTTTTGTTATCGGAACATTGGCGATCTCGAGTATCGTGGTGATAGTGATCACATGACATTAGTCTTGGCGGGCGTTTCTTGAGTAAGCTATATTTTTTGGGAGACGTGCCAGGAACCTTCTTCGGTTGGCCGACGACTGTAAATTTGTCGGCGGCTGCTCTAAGCGAGCCGCTGTGCCCAGTCGGCAACGGTTGAAGGTCAGCCATATGTCAGTTGGACAGCACAGCGCCACAGATCTCGTTATATGCAGCCGTCTTACGGAATGCTGTAGATTTCAATTACACGTGATAAAAAGGTGCACTTTCACCTTTGCGAACATTATTTTTTTCTCCTATACGACAAGTCGTGAGACCATTGAAGATCGCCGGTAATCTGTCATACATACGAGTACTAACTACTGTAGTATGTGCAGGAACGGGTGATGGGCGGCTAACAAGGCATTGAAGAATGGGAACTTGGGAACGAGATACTCCCTCAATCCAAGTAAAGACAGAAGACAGAAGACAGAAGACAGAAGACAGTACCGTGGACTTGACATTCCAACAAACCTGTCCACGCGTAGAACACCGTAATTGTGATATGACGATGTCTCGGCCCTCACCTAAAATCTAGAATAAAGCAGACCAAGTCCGGATGGCTCCCGTTCCATACTGCGGTACCAGTATAAAATAGCAATTGTAGTGGAGTACAACGTCGTGGGCAGAGTACGCGGCGAGCTAGGGGTACCAAAGACAAACTCTGCGGATGGGTACGGGAAACTGGGCAAAGGGGAAAGGAAGTGGTTACAGTGGTCTATTAATACACCATCCCCCTGTCTGCCAGCTAAGAGAGTCTTACGCCCGACCCGTTTCTTTGTTCAATACGAAGAGTACTAGATACTTTTGTCCATGATCTACTGTCAGCGGATACTATGTATATAGTACTTCATTAAAAAAGGCCCCCTTGAATAGGGTGGTCGGCAAAGGGTGAAAGGGGGGATCCAGCTTACGTGCGAGGGCTCCAACGACGACGAATCTGATGGGTCGTCTCTCATGTGCAGACTCATGTGCAGACTCATGTGCAGAGGATGGACATGTCTGTATTGATATGAACATGTATTTTAGATTCTAGTACAGTACAGGGTCGAATAGTAAAGTCGTTGCTTTCATAGAGTTGGGAGGACAAAATTAAAATTTCCAATGCACTCACAGATAAAGTCAAGATGAACCTGAAATAGAGTACCATGTTACAGTAAAGTATGGTGGTACCTCCTTTGTCGCCGGCAATGCTAGGGTAGCGTTGATGGTGAGGCTGTGTGGAGTGTGGCACACTTCGCAATCCAAGGATTCTGTTCCCCATCTTTTCTTGGCGGGCTTTTGGGGAGCACTCCAGCGCCACAGCTGTGTGTG